CATACAAAAGCACTAATTGTACCTTTCTTTTCGAACCAAGCTTTACATTTCAGGCAATCTTTCTGATAGTGCCCATCCTTGTTACAGAAACGACACGTATCTGCCTTATGTTCTTTCTTAGCATCCCGTGAAGCTTTAGCATGTGCTTTCTTTTTCTTGAACTAGTTGTCCTTCACTTTAAGTCCTTTACCAACTCCTTGTCCCATGATGTGAATTGAATGATCCCTTGTTTCTTAAGTCTTGACTCCTCCTAAGTAAGCATACTGGACAATTCACTAATATTTCGCTTATCCTTAATAGTATTATAGTTAATTTGAAAAGGTCAATACTCAGGAGGCAGCGAGTTTAGAATAAACTGAACCAAGAAGGAGTCATTCACTTTCATCCCCAAGGTCTGAAGTCTTAATGTTATGTTAGTCATCTCGATGATATGATTTTTTATATTGCACAACCCATCAAACTTCATGGTCGTGAGTTCAGTCATTAATGTACCAGCGAGAGAGTTATTTGTAGAACGAAAACGTTCTTCCACAAACTTCAGGTATTCCCTGGTACTTTTTGTTTGTGGAATAATACTCTTAATGTTGTTGGCAACAATCATTCACATAAACATAAGGCTCAGCTTGTTAGAGCGTTCCCATGCTTTATGGAAAGGCTTCTCATCCGCACTGCTCGTTTCAGTAATAGCAGTGGGCTTATCATTCAGCAAAGCCAAGTCAAGATCCATTACACCTAAGTGGAACTGGACTTGTTCATGCCATTCAGAGAAGTTCAATCCATTGAACACAGTAACAGACGAAGCATGCGAATGAAGAGGAATAGCTGCAAAATAGAATACATGCTCACAAATCAATATGGATTCAGTAAAACAATTAAAGCATTTCACAATTCTCCTTTGGGTAAATACTACGACACACTATCATAATTTAAATTTTATTTAGTCTTTAATAGGTAATTAAATATTTTAACCAAATATATATGACATCTTTGGACAAATAATATATATTTGATTAACGAATATTAATTTACCTCGTCATATTCACTATTCATAGAATATTGATCCACCTTTGGGTAAATCCTTAAATTCTAGCAATAGTAAAAATTAATTTATCCATTTATTTTTGTCACGCCCCGAACTCGAGAAGCACGACCGGCGCTCAACCGAGTGAACTCGGTCAAGAAAGCATGTCAGTTACTTTCTACCCAAACTCACTTATGAATAAAGAGAATATATATTTTCGTTAATTAGATAATAAGGAGATCATGTATACAATACCAATTCATTACCATTAGTTACTTCATTTTAAAGTTTCAAATTACACACATTTCATGATCTGAAGTGGAACAAGTAATTCAAACACAACATAACTTGTTTGACTTTCCCAGCACTAATATACAACCCACTCTTTGTCTACGGAACCTCTAATAGATACAGAAGAGTACTATAATAATGCCGGCAACAAGGCCCCGGCTATACCTCAAACACAATACACAAGGAACAAAAGATGCATGACCACGAAATGAAGTGGGACTCACCAAGTCAGCCGGGAAGAGGGTGTACCGCTATCACTGATCAATGTCTCCTGCTGTGGAACCACCTACATCCACTGAAGATGTAGCGCCGCCGAAAAAATAGACGTTAGTACATATGAAATAGTGTTAGTATGAATGACAAAATACCCTCTCAATAGAACGATTAATAATACAAGCAAGAACAATCAAAATATCAATGGAAGCCTCAAACAACATCAAACCTCAAGTTATGACCAAGACAGTGTTCGAATAAATTTTCATATCTTAAGTTGAGAGATATTTAGTACCAATATGCCACCGTTCATAATACCAATATCACCGTACTTTTAGCATGGAGTCCGATCACGACCCGATCGTCTAGGCCGTCTCATTCGAGGCATCAACCACAATCACAATTTTAATTATAATAATTTCCAGCACAATCACCATCATGTGTGCGGCATGATGTCCGATCACGAGCCGATCGGCTAGGCCGTCTCACCACAATGATGTATGGATCGACATCATCCTTTCTACCAATCGTCTCGTTTCATACTTCTTTCACATCTTTTCATTTCATTGGCACTAGTGACCACAATTATAAAATCATTCTTGGCACGTCAGCCGTATTTAGTATTTCATGCTCACCTTTTTCACTTTCAAATATCATCATCATCAACAACAACAATGCGTTTCACATCAAGGTTTCTAGTACACATGTGAGCAATTAAGAGTCTTAGGCACGTAGAGATGTTTCACAAAATTTGGTATAATAGCTTTCGTTTGAACTTGACTTGAAGTCGAAATATTTTTAATGCACAGCCCATACTTTAAACACATTCTCAAATGATAATATAACATGATAAAAGCATTTGGAATATATATTTAACATATATCTTTCAACACAAGCTTATTCAGAATAACCAATTTTATGATGAACAACTCACGACTTACATAAATTACATGAATACCGTGGGATTCAATTCTAAGAGAGGAGTTTAGCCAGCATACCTCGATTTGAGCTTTCCTTAAATTACTACAACGTTCCGAAAATGCTAGCAATCCTAATCTATTTTGAGACATAACAAAATTGAACACAAATTAGGAAGATATTCATGGTTTAAGCTCATTTGAGCATTTTATCAAACACTAGGTGTGCAAATTTGGCTACAAGGTTCTTCTACAAGATTTCCTTCATTCCACAACCCAATCTTTACTTATTTGAGCTCAACAATCTTCCCACAAAACCTATTGGTACATACACGTATACATAATACTCTCACACCCAAGAACCATACTCCCAATCACCCATCTTTTACCTCAAACTCGAAATTGAAGAATTGGGGGAAGAAATTCTTACCTCTTTGAAGCCCTAGTAAGATCCTTGTAAAATCTCCAAGCCTTGAGCAAGAATTGATGAAACAATGGCTAGGTTTTCTCTTTCTCTCTCTAAAAATATCAGATGAAGCCCTTAAAAATGACCTCCAAAAACTTTTTATAAAAATGGGATCGGGTAAAATTTTCAAAACTTAAATTCTACCCCGAGCCGAATTTCTACAATCCTCAAAAGCCTACCCCGGCACCACGAAACCTTAAATTTCTTTACAAAATTTTACGGGGCCTTACAATTTTCAATTATAGGCATTTCATTAATTTCATGGATAAACTACAATTTTATGTGTGCAATTTTTCATGATCATATTAGTTTGGCCACTTTGACGACTAACAAAATATATAAACATAAATGCATACATAAAATAAACATCAGAAAATTTCATGCATATAAATATTTTAAACAATTTAGTTTGATCACTTTGATGATTAACAAACTATATAAACATTAATCACATACACAAAATAAATAAAAAATGACTTTATCAGCTAATAGTCCGAAACAAATTACTTTATGGCTCAACAAATAAATATTAACTTTTACGGCCAAGATATAGCAAATATGAGCCAAACCTTATATCAATTAATTGCTGAAGGCAAGGATTAGATCAACTGCCTCAACATAAGGCATCTCGTTATTACTCTTATTCCTATATTTTATTTTTGGTGGGCCACAATTCAAGGTATACCGGTCAAAACCCTGTATCAGCCGTTTTCCATCTTCATCATAATGTTTTATATATATTTAAAAATTTTAACACCATAAATATACTCAACTACAATAAAAGAATATATTTTTCAATTCATCAAGGCAAATAACAGAGATAAAACTAATGGATAGAATCAATTAATTCATAAATAATAAATGGCAGTTTGACTTTCGGCGTCAAAACTGGTCATCCAAATTGAATAGTTATATGCTTCTCCTTCAAGAAGTGATTACAAGATCAAATATACTATTTTAAAACGTAAGATAAGAGAGGTAATAGTACTTGGAGTTGATTGCCTTTTCCCATAAAATTATGATCCATCACTGATGCTTTGCCCATGAACAGAAAACCTGTACTCATGATCAAATCTTTATTTCGTAACAATACCGCAATCAAACATATATAGTATAAAGTTTGCTAACGAACATTATCAGTTCAAATATCCATGCTCAAGATATCACATGTAAACTTAAATACTTTAATGCATATCAGGATCTTAAACATGATATTTTTACACAAAATCGTTATAGATTACATACCTGAAGCGAAAGCCATTATCACGAAGCGGAAGCGTTGATTGGAATTGGTTTCTCGTCTCTTGCCCTAGCTTTCGTTACCGCCGCCTATAGTAATGGAAGATAGAAATAAAAAATACATTAACCATAATGGGTGGGGAGATGACCAATTTATAGAGGTTCTCACTTAATTCCGTATGTCCATCAAATAACCGATCGGACAGACGAATTTTGTCTTTCATTAAATATTAATTATGGGTCTTAAGTTTATTGAGTCACAAAAATAATTAAAAAGAATCTAACATTTTTGTCATAAGTTTAAAAGTTCTTCCTAAATCATGTAAAGTAATGACAACACGGGTAAAATCATTCTATCCGCGAAAAAGGTCATGATATGTTCTTGAACTATGCAAAATTAAGCGAATTTATCCATCGTTAATACTTTAACACAAATATGCCTATATCGTCCAATACTTGATCCAAATATACTCTTACTCTAAACGGTCTCATATGAAGGGCATATTTGGTCCAACGCGCATACTTTGGGGCATATTTGGCCTATATATTCTTCCGTAGATCGATTGATTTTCTTCTATAAATCTTAAATACGAACAAAGAGAAATCACGTAATAGAAAAACTTAAACTATTTTGTTGGAAGAGAAACCTACCATTGGCCAATTTTAAAGTTCTATGTATGAGTATTATTCCATTGTGCTTTGTTTTACTTGATCAAGTTTTAGTTCATGAAAATCTTATTAGTTATTGCTTACTGATTTGAAATTACTCAAAATTTTGTCGTAATCTGAGAATTGAACGCCAAATATACTTTATTTGCATAGTGGACTAAAAATTAAAGCAACAACATATGAATTTGCTAAACTAAAGAAACTTTCTTATTCAATGGCGATGACGAGAACTCTAATGAGAGAAATCTCAATCAATAAAACAACTTCACTAATACCAATGAGGTGCGTGGAATTCGAAACCCTAACCAAAAATAAATCACAAATTACCAATGATTTCACTTGTGCCTAATAAAAGCATAGGAAACACTTAAAAGAAATGAAAAATGATGTTTCAGACTTCAGTTCTCTCTTTTCACTTTTTGTCTGATCCAATTCCAAGAGTGTTCTTCACTCCATCAACTGCACCTTGAGCCATGTGGATCATTTGCTCTCCGGTCTAAAATGCAACAAAGGGGAAAAAAATGATAGATATATTATGACATTTAAAAGGAAGGAACTAGAAGCTTTGAGTATATTAATAGATTCTTTAAGGATTTAATTCATATATACTAACAATTTAAAGTATTTTTACACTATTTGTGTATGTTAATCCGTTATAGCAAGGAAACCTTACTTATCCCACTTTTTATGATTAGTTACTTGTAATTATATTTTAGGTGACTTGATAGTGTAAAATATTTTCTGCGTGTCATCCGAAGTGACCGAATGTGTTCCTTATCCTTTAATTTATGTGACCTGAACCTTCAACTAGCGGCAGGGCCACATGTGTTCCAGGACCGATACCCCTTCGTTGAAAAGTTATATTGTGTAGCTAGGTAAAAATATTATGCATATATACTGTATATTGACATCCATTGACTTTTTTATTTATTTACTTCTTTATATTTTGACTCACATTAGTGAAAATTCTGGCTCGCACTACCTTAAACCAATTGATTGACTGAGGAGGTGCTCTATTACTGGAAATACTTATGATATACTAATAGATTAATTACCGGGTCAAATAGCTTTGTGGCTCTTTACCAATTTATTTTTTGATTTTATAACCCTATTTTTTTTTTATATATTTAAGAGATATACTTTTACACATAAGAGATATATCTTTTACATATAAGAAATCTAAAAATAACACTTTTAATTCTAACATTGCAAATAGCGATGAAGACCCATTTCCCTAAAATTACCTGCTGAAGGAAGCCAGGATTCTGGTCTTTGTTTTGTTGAGCTGATTCATGAGCACTTTGGGTAGCATTTTCAGCCTTGTCCACCATTGAATGTGCTGTACTCTTGGCTGAATCTGCCATTTGCTCTGTCTTGGCCTAGTTTTTCATCAATTACAATAATGTAAAAGATGCAGTAGAGAACAAGAAGAGATCATGAAGAAAAAATGAAAAACAATTCCTCGAGTATATAATACTTACAACAATAACAACAACCCAATATAATCTCACTAGTGGGGTCTGGGGAGGGTAATGTGTACGCAGACCTTACCTCTACCCTGGGATAGAGAAGTTGTTTCCGATAGACCCTCGGCTCCCTCCCTCCAAGAACTCCACACCTTGCTCTTGGGGCGACTCGAACTCACAACCTCTTATTTGAAAATGGAGGGTGTTCACCACTAGAGCAACCACTCTTGTAATACTTATTTCGCACAATTATAAAAGATTTTGCAAAAAGCTTTATTTTTTAACTTTTTATGGTATTATATAGAAGGAGTCGAAAATCTATTGAAAACATCATTTCTATCTCCATAAGGTAGGTGTAAGATCTGTATACACACTTATAGGAATACACTAGGTATATTGTTGTTGAAATATTATACAGGAGATCATAGATAATGAAGGGGACAACGGACGACGAGAATATAATGAAACACACATATTGTGTTGAATAGGGGCGAAGGCACGAATTTCGTTAAAAAAATTCAAAAAATGCACTTATCTGTCCGGAAAATTCAACAATTTATATATATTCACAAAAAAAATCACTTATATACACAGTATAATATAATTACTGCTGATAGCTAGGCTATAAGTCTAGGTAATCTAAAAACAATTTTAATTTGTAACGACTATTAATTGCATTAGTATGAAGTATTAATTACCTGAGCTTGGCCGTGGGACTCACCGGCTTGTTGAGCACTTGACATTTTGATTATTGATCTGAAGGAATTTTATCCAGAAAAACAAATAGATATTTGAAAATTTTATTTTTTGAACTTGGTATATATTTGTTGAATAACTTCTAGGTTGATTGGACCTATTTATAGAGAGGTTATTGGTTTAGTTGATTGATGATCCATGTTTTTCTGCTTTTGACTAGGTTTCCAGTGATTAACTTAGTGTAAAAATTAGAAAAGGAACTTATACAATGACTCTAAATATAGCATTAATTTTATATATNCAAATCTCGAACCACAAGTTAAATAAGAGCCCTTATATGTAGGAAGGCGTTAATTAAAAGCTATAAACTCTGAAAATAATATAGTAAATCAGGAATGATATAATGAAAATTCTAAGATTAGAATTTAGCAAAATAGCAAATTCCTAAGTGACGTTAATATTGATACTTGGATAGAAAAAAGAATTAACTCAATAGATGAGAAATAATAATCTCACTTAAATCTTGTTTACCCTCAAAATCGGATAACAATTGAATTTATACGCGGTTTTAAGGATACGTGATCTAACTTGATACAAAATGAGAAATCAGATTCAAATTGAAATTAATGATAGAAAAAAGTAAATACAAACCACACAGGTTGAACACTCTTAGCCTTGAAGGTTGGTCACCATCGAGTCAAAGATGCTGCAATCAGTGTCGGAACAGAGTGATGAGATAATAATGATTAGAAATAACAGTTTATTACTTTGGGATGCGTGTTACAATGTCCTTTAGAAATAATCAGACCCTCTTTATATAGTAGATGAGTCATACTTTAGGTACAATTCTATATAAGGTAAAAACTCTCATAATTTGCTAATTAATCGCTTTTATTGATACGTGCCGAGATTTCCGCCGTGATATCCGATCGGTTACGGATATTTCGGCCTTCCGTTATTTTGGTTCGATAATGTTTTCTCGAGCTAATTCGGAGTAGTGGTCAGTTCCAGGGTTACAAACTCGATAATCTTGAAGACGCATAGGTTCGATGGAACCCATGGTCCATCTTCCATCCATTATGTTTTATCCCCGATCTGTCATGCAATTAAGGTTGTGCATGGATCAGATCGAATCGGATTTAGTACATTTCGGATCGGATTTCGGATTCTAGAAAATGCAATCCAAATCCGATCAGAATTAATAACGGATTGGATCGAATTTTAAAATTTGGATCGGATCGGATTTTCGAATTTCGGATCGGATTATTATGCCTCAAAGTTGCAAACTCATATATATATTTTTTTTGTAAAAGAGGCAATACAGTAAGAAAAATTTATGTTTATACAATTATGAGAGTACTATGCTGCCAATAGAGCTAAATCCATCAATTGTAAAGGTAATAACTTGGAGGAAAATGTAAAGAAAGTACTAATTATCCGAATTAAAGTTTAGAATTTATACATGCCCTAATAATTTCGAATTTTGGATCGGATTAAAATTATACCGATCTGAATCCGATCCAAAATCCGAAATTTTAATAAACACAATCCAAAATCCGATCCAGTCCGAAATTAAACGGATCGGTTCGGATTTCGGATATCTGATCCAAATGAACAGCCCTACATGCAATAGATGAGCTCGGTTTCTACCGATATAGATAGTCCTCTCATTTTTTGGAGAGTAAACGACAAAAAACGATATGAGCCCTCGATCCTTGTCTCGATACTTTGCGCCAGAAACGACAAAATGAGCGAAACGTCTCGTCAGTCACATCTAAATGGCATTAAATGTTCGTCAATTGCTGGTCGACCACTACAGATTGGAACCATCGTTTGCAAACTATAAATACTTCCTCTTTCGTTCATTCAAACTTTACATCCAATCTTTTCCTACTCTTGTTCTTAAAGAACCTTTGCATTTTCTACTGTTTTTCCCAATTTCTTGAGAGATTTGTAAGGATTTCTCCTTTGTCTGAACTATTCAAGCGTACCCTTTTAACTCCTTCTTCTTCATCTTCATAAAAAAATGGCGAAGACTTCTAAGTCTGTTCCCCAAAAAGAAACTCCCTCTGCCTCGCGACCGGCTGAAGAGAAAAATGTTTTTGTTGCTACCGAGGAAATGACACTGAAGACCCCCTTGAAGATGTTTGCTCCTACGGGGTGCCCGACTGGTGCTGCTTTTAAGGTCGAGAAAACTTCATCGGTCCCGGATCGGTGCGAGCCAATCTCGAGATATATATGCTCAGTCACCGAGAACTTCCTCTCCATGGTCAAGGAGGATTGCAACTAGGTTGGTAAGCACGTGGTGGTGTCTACGCTCGAGGAGGAGATCACTACCCACGTGGAGGGTTTTCTGAGTGTTTACACTTATCCCTTTACGTTGGGCCCCTTGGACCCGGTCATCATCGCCTTTTATAAGAGGTGCGAGGTGGCTCTAGGCCAAATTCATCCATCTTTCTGGAGGATAGTTATTCTCCTCCGCTTCTTTGTAAATAAGATCGAGAGGTGTCCCTTCACCATGGATCACCTCATGCGTTTGTACAGTCACCGACTCTATCGAGGGGGGATAATAAAACTTGTCCGTCGGGCCAGTAAGGCCCCATTCTCGAGCATCGACAAGGATCGGGACCGAGGCTGGTTGGGCCGATTCATTCGAGTAAAGACCTCTGACTTAATCCCGGCCGAGGACATGCCATTTACTGAGAAATGGAACATGAAGCGTAAGTATAACCTTGCCTTTAAGATTTTGTTTATCATATTTCTTTTGCCCTTCTTCTTATCGATTCTTTATGATGCAGTTGTTGCTCGGATATCGGATATCGGATGCAGTTCCTCGACTCAATGAGTAGGTCGAGGGCATCGTGTCACAAAAACCCTATTCTGAGTGCGTGAGGTGCGAACTTTCGAAGGGTCGGTGGGAGGCTCGTGCTCACGGTGAGATTTCACTACTGAGTGAATTAACACTTAGTTTTCTTAGTTGCATTCGTTCTCACGTTTTCTTCCTTTGTAGGTCTTCCCAAAGATGTTAAAATGGACGAGGTGGAGGCCCTTTGTCTTTTTAATGAAGCTCAACAGGCCTTGAATCGGGTAACTTAGAATGCATTTTTATTATGTACTTAGATTAAATTGCAAACAATTGTAACATTCTTCTTTGTGTTCGCAGGCCTCGGTGCTTCATCACAAAACTTTTTTCCGATATCGGGAAGAGTTAAACCAACACGAGGTCAAGACCCAGGAGCTTACTGAGAAGAGGGATGCTTACAAGCTCCTTAGTCATAAGATCTATGCCGAGTTAGAAGCAGCTCGAAAGAAGCATATCGACATGGTCGAGCAGGTAAGACGAGCATTTGAAGTTAGTGACGATGATTCAGACACAGTGACTAACAACCCGAACCCGTAGGTCCAAAAGAAACTTGACCAGATCGGGCAGCTCCAGGTGGAGGTGGACCCGGTGAAAGATGAGGCCGAAGAATGGAAGAAAAACATGGACCGCCTGGCCTCGAAAAAGGAAATTGCCCGAGAAAAACTAGCTTCGACTGAGGTCCAGCTCCGGGATGCAAAAGAAAAGGCCTTGCTACATGCAAAAAAGATCGAGGAGCTCCAGTCTCAACTGAGCTCGGAGATCTCCGGCCAAGGAACTTGAGGTGGCCAAGTCGGAGATTGTTGTGATTACGGCCTAGGCTGATGATAGGGTAGACCAGCATAAGGCCGATACTGAGGCGGCTCAGGATCAAGTGAGAAACTTAGTGGAGCATATTAAGTGGCAATCCCGAAGCGAGGCCCTCGAGGGAGTTCGAGCTCAGCGTTTTAACCTATTGGCCTAAATCGAGAATGCCAAGGTATCTGAAGCCAAGGCCAGGAAGCTGGCTTATCCCAAGGAGGAGGATTCCGAGAGATCTGAAGATTTGGATGAGCCCGAAAGTAGCGGAGACCCCCAAGGTGATGACGCGGCCCCCGGCGAAGACTAGGCTATTTAGGATCTTTCTAAAGATTTTTTTGTCTTTTGTTTTTTTGAGGCCATTTTGGCAATATCGGGTCTATTCGGCCCTTGTAAAAAGAAATTTATGATTATGAATATAAGGCCTTTTTCCTTCAACAGCTTTCAAATTTTCTCTTTGCCTTGTTTATTTTTATTTGCAAAGATCTAAATGCCTTGGCATGAAACAATTTGTTTTTGTTTAGAGACTAGAATAAACCTTGCCTTCAACTATTTCGTTTTAAGGCATCGTGGGGGTTCGGTGTGACCGTAAGTTTTCTTTCCCCAAAGTACTTAGATTTTTTTTTAATTCATAGTCTGTCGAGGGTAGCCTTTGGAACCGGTTAAGAAATTTCAAAGCCTTGTTGTTTTTGTTACGGGCTTCGGACGTCTCCGAACTGTGTTTATGTGGCCGTAGACTTTATAGTTCAGGTGTTGTCCCATGTTAATATCATTATACCGAGTTATCCGGGTTTTCCTAAGATGGCAGTCCCCGAGGTCTAATAGCTTGGACCGTCCGAGTTTTTCTATCGGACGGCAGTCCCCGAGTGAGAGAGTGATTATTTGAACTCAGGTTAAGGCGGCCCTTGGGTTCGTTTCCTTTAGGGGATCGGAAGCAGGGAATTCCTTAAGAAATATAAAGGAATTTTATTAAAAATACAAGATGTTTGCAATGAAGAGACTTCTCTTTATTCTTGTGCATAATAGTAATGTATGTGTACATTCTTTGTGTGAGAGTTCGAGCAGTCTATGTGGGCATGGTTCATTTGACTGTTTGGCCCTTACATTGAATCATATCGATCGAGACTCTTCAATCCGAAAGTCTCTTTCCATGCTAAATTCGATATCAGAGGGTAATACCCCCCAGTGTTTGGGGTTGATCGAAGAGGGGCCTCGAATGTTGTTATGATCATCGTCACCGGTTCATTGCCGACTTTCAATTCTAAGTTAGCATGATTTACTTGTTGCCTCGTTAAAAACCTTGCACGAAAACCCATTTAGGACAAAATCGGCTCAAGGGAAAAAGAGAGCAACGCGTACTTTCAGGCCTAAAATCTCGTACAGTCCCTTATAGGTTACCTGTATGGGTTAGTTTAAGATGTAAATAAATAAAAGAACGGGGCCATACCTTAGCAGTAAT